TTATTTTTTTTCTGTTTCTCTCATAATAGATACACTATTATCTATAGTTTTTTTTCGTTCTTTTCGCCTATCTGTACATTGTGCTTGTTAATCATCGTATTTATTTCGTAATTCACTTGCACGTGCTTGCATCCATAGCTTTATCCTTTAATCACGTATCACCACGTTAAAAAGATTCGAGTAACAACGATCCAACGGAGAGGCACACACACACAAACACATACACATACATATATACACACACACACGATATGGATTGCTATATAATATTATTTAATATGAATTCTCGGATCGGTATCAGTACAAACATACACAAATATATACATCATATACATGAGAGCTCGTGAAATAATTTTTTTAATTAGAATATCGAACTGTCAACGGGAAGGAAACGCGTCAATCGTCGTGGTGCCGTCTTCTTCGGTTAGCTACGTTCTTCCAACTATTTCTCTTTTTTTTATTATTATTATTATTATTATTAATATTCATTTTTCTAAGGCCTTTAGAGTCTATTGATCGCGATTTTCAATCCATCATTAAATCATCTTGGATCCCAAGAATCCTAGATATACGAGCCTCTCGAGAGATGATTTTCTCGAGCGAGAAAAAAAAGACACGTTCAGACAGAGATTCAAAAAGTTTCGCGGTAGTTCGCAGTAGCCGATAAGGTTCGATATTGTAATAAGTGCCAGTGTTCGAGGGCGAGTCAGAGAGCCAAAAAAAAAAAATAGAAAAAAAAGAAAAAAAAAGGAAAAAAAAAAGTAATCCGTATTAATTACACATGTCGTGCGAATTAATCCTACTTTTTCACACACAGATACATATATAACTACCTCGAAATGTTAATCGCCACTTCCCACTATTTTTCTTTCGATCGTGTTGTTTTTTATCTCTTTTATCGACCGTTCATAGTTCAATCGATAAATTGATATGAAAATCAGAGATAGAGTTATAGAGTCGGGTTAATGGACGAGCGAAAGAAGGAGGCAGAGGTGTGAAAGAGAAAGTGTCTTTCTAATTGAAAGAATTAAAAGAAACAGCTAAGTCAAGTCAGTGGGATTATTTTAATCGATGATAAGAATGACGATGATCATGATCACGTGTTAATTCGTATAATTGGTTCACGGAATAAACGGTTCCTTGCTTTTCCAAGTTTCGATGCACGAACATACTAACCAGGGAGAAAAGAAGCGCCGGAGAGACCGGAAGCACGGTCCTCGCGATTCATATGGAATTTAAGAATCGAAAAGTGGATCAAGGAAGGGGAGGAAATGGTGGTTGTTCGAGGTCGATGGATCGTAACGATAATCGACAGAAGGGTGATTACTATAGAAGGAGGTAAAAGGGAGGTAAAAAGACGCGTCCAACCCTCACCCATCGGAGTATTATAAGAATCATTAATATATTATCATTCATTATTATCATAATGTAGTAGTAATAATAATTATTAGCGGCAAACAGTAATAATTAGTAATATAATCTAATTTAATCGATTATTTATTAATTAAGTTTTAACAAAACGCGTTGTTCTATTGTATTTTTATTATCGTATCTTTTTTAGCTCTTCTCTTTTCTTTTATCACTTATCCTTCATTCGTTTTTCTTTTCTTTTTCTTTTTTTTTTTTTTTTTTTTTAATATAATTTTTCTTTCGTAACGCCGAACGATCGAATTAGTGTCGAGGATCAACTCTTTTCTTTCTTCGTTATATATTTTATCTTTCGTTTTAAATTTCTTTTCTTCGCTTTTATTCTCTCTATTTTTTTTTTTTTTTTTTTTTTTTAATATAATTTTTCTTTCGTAACGCCGAACGATCGAATTAGTGTCGAGGATCAACTCTTTTCTTTCTTCGTTATATATTTTATCTTTCGTTTTAAATTTCTTTTCTTCGCTTTTATTCTCTCTATTTTTTTTTTTTTTTTTTTTTTTTAATATAATTTTTCTTTCGTAACGCCGAACGATCGAATTAGTGTCGAGGATCAACTCTTTTCTTTCTTCGTTATATATTTTATCTTTCGTTTTAAATTTCTTTTCTTCGCTTTTATTCTCTCTATTTTTTTTTTTTTTTTTATTTTGTAGAAAGAAAAAGATTGTTTAACACGAGCAAAAACAGCATCATCGATGATGAGCTTGCATGTCTTTTAAACGCTAGTCGTCCTTTATGTATTTTCTTCTTTTCTTAATCGATTCATTTTTCCCTTTTTATGTTCTGGTATCATCCTCTATTTCACCGATATATGACGAACTTTATTACGCTAAAAGCATAATCGTTCCTCCGTTTTTACGCATGACTCTGGAGTTTTACAAAACAAAATATGAATTTTAAAGCAAAAATATCAAATAGAAAAATTAATGTTCAATCTCAAAAGAGACTATTTTTCGATTAGGTTCACCAAGATTGAGAATCGATCTCAACCAGTCAATTAAACATTTTACGAAGGAAAATAGCAAGATAAACAAAAGTTCTCGCTGAAATTACAAAAACATGTTTCTATTTTTTTAAACATTTTAAAAGATCATTCTATATATTCTATATATATAAAAAGAAAAAAAGAGAGATAAGATTTTTCGTCATCTATTTCTTTCTTCTTGCGAGCAAACGTTTCGATCGCAACACTCTTCTTGTTTCTTGCGAACGATTTACCAACGATACATGTGAATTATCTTCAACGATAATTTCTTATTTTTCTTCATCTGCGTCGTTTGTCGTTGAAAATTGTTCACGTTCAATTTCGTTGTGGAAATGGTTCTTCAATGCTTTCGAACGCTCATGACGATTAGAGTTTGATTAATTATATATGTTTGAAAATATATATATATATATATATTTATATATATTAAAAATTATGTAAAAAATATGAAAATACGATAAAATCGGAAGTAATGCGAACGAGAGAAAACGAACAATGAAATTGTGAATGTAATTGAACAAAGAAAAATCGTTTAATGAAATTAATCGAGATTAAGATTATGTAAGATTTATACTTTCGATTGTAATCTACCGATTTTATATAGATCTCTTATAGACAATTATTCATATATTATTGTAAACGAATGAATTATAGATATTTTAAATTAAATGAATTTTAAACATCTAATAATTAAGGATGATAATGAAACCAGTGACTATATAATGATTTATATTATATTTAATTTTTATTATTAATTTTATTATTATATTGTAATGATGAAAAAATAATTTTTCTTTCGTTTGTAAATAACGGGAGCGATCGTTAGCCGGGGAAGAACCATCGTTCATAGCGCGCCTGTTCCTTTCACATTTGCATACGTTTCTTTCCTCGATCGCGATCCATGGATTCACTTAGGACATACGAGGCGCACAGGCAAGATTTTTCTCTCGTCGACTTCCGAATGATGCTCAGTTGCGTGCGTGAATAGGATACAAAGAATGTTTAGAAGATAAAAAGGCAAGAAAATTGAAAAGATAAAGAAAAAAAAAGAAGGACAGATTTCGTCGCAGGATTTTTTTTTTTTTTGAAGAGAAAATTGTTATCAAAGTAAAAATCATACGACGAACTATAATTGCAATCGATGAAATGAGATAGAAGTAGAAAAAGAAAATGAACTGGTTATTGTTGCTGTTCTTTTGTGTATAAGATGCGAGAAGGAAATTGTATCGTCACGATGCCAAAATAGTATTAATGCGGTAATAATTAAGGCGTAACAGAGAAAGAATCATTAATGTACTCAATTGTCGTGTTGCAGCGAGAACGGAATAAAAATGAACGTGACGCACGCGAACGAGTTTATTGCCAATTTTTTTACTTTTCTTCTTTCGGAAGGAGAAGAGAT